TTAGACTCTCACAAGTTTTGTAGACATCATCCCTTGTTTCCTTGGTTTGTATTTTCTGTTCACCCATGGCTGCTTTAATCACATCCACATCTCGCTGGGTAAACTGCAAACTCGTTTTTATCTCCTGTATTTATCTGGTCATGTCGTCGAGTCTCTTGTTATTTTTCTCCATAATTAGTTGCACAAAACCTTTGAAGTTGTCTTGTTGTTGGCTTAACAGTGCGGTGTACATCTGTTTCTGCTGACTCAACAGCTCTGTTACTTGCGCCACTGAAATATAATCCTCTTCTGCTTCAACATCCTCATTCGCATCTGATTTATTAGCTCTTTTCCCTCTTGGAGGCATTTTAATAGTTGTAGAATTTGTTCAAAGACTTGAAAATGTAGAAGACGTGAAAAATCGTAGTACAGACAAGAGGAGCAGTAAAGACGGCAAAGGTCATGACTGTAATATAGGTTTGATAGTTTTGGAAAACATGTAAAGACATGTGAGAAGAGGCTTCCCAAACTGGCAATCAGTACTTCCCATGAGACCCTAAGATAAGTCTGAGGGGACATGAGATGATAAAAGAAGGAACAAAAAAGCAGTTTTTTTGTCTGGCTGTTTTGTTGAATACTCCTCATGCTATAAATATATATAATCCTATAATCAAACAACCTGAGAAGATAAAATAACTGCTCACAGCAAATGTCTACACTAAGGCCAGAACCTGTATTGAAAGGCCAGAAGCAAATACTGCTTCATTTTAAAGGGGTCACAAGCCAAAAAGGTTGGGACTATGTACGTCACAAAATGTTTAATTACAAATGTTCTTTTTCTTAATTTTTAATTATTCTTACTTTGCATCTCAATCTGATGTTATGGCTATGGTCTGACTTCCTGTTTTGTGCTTTTTATTTTGTAGCCATTTCCTTTCTCTAGCCATCTCACCAGCCCCAACTTTACACAGCCACCGATTGCTCTTAATTGTCTTCACCTGTTGCTCATTTACTTCCCTGGCTCAGCCTTTAAAATCACCTCAGTTAATAGTTTGTCTGTGCTTCATATCCTTCTTTTAGCTCCTGTTTTGTGTCACCTGTTGTCATTATGCCTTGCTTTGTTATTGCCAGCAATGCCTTCTCTGTGACTCAGTCCTTTGATTGATTTTTGATTGATTGATTGATTTTATTCTTTCAAACATGCAGAACAGAACAAATGAACAAATGGCAACAACACACATAATTGCACATATCTAACCAATGCTAATCCAAAATCAGTTTGCTTACACATATTACATGTTTGAATGGAGTAGGAAGAAGTCAGACTTATCCAGTCCTACCCCATGACATCATATTATACAAAAATTAATGCTTCATTGGCTGCAAGCAGTATCTCTACATTAATAAACAGAGTATTTCTTTAATGCCTTCTCGAATAATCTCAGTCCTTGTGCTTTATGATCGCATAGACTCAGGTTCTGTTGTCCCTGCTTCTGGTTTGTTACATTCTTTTTTTCTCTTAGCTTATTTGTTCCCCGCTCTTGGTTTTATTGTGGTTAGCTCACAGGCTTTGCTGACTTCTGTCCTTTAGTGTTTTATTTGGTCAGGTCTGAACTTAATTTTGATTTTCTGTGTTACCTTCTGAATGTTAGCCTCTGTTTAACTATTGTTTATTAAAGCCTTCTTTCCTGTTCTAGCTTTTTGTCTGCAACTGGATCCATATTTCACAAACCATAACATCCAATGCATGAGAATTTTACTTTGGTAAAATGTAAAAAGATAAATGGTTAATAATTATCCTAAAGTAATAGGTAAACTGAAAAAACACTGGTGCAATAATAATAACAAATGTGCACTATGTACCTTGGGCCTATTTCAAGAAGGCGGTTCAACAAACTCAGAGTTCAAACCTGAACTGAGTTGACTTACTCAGAGTTGGAAAACTTGGAGTTTTCGGTTTCACAACAGCTGAAAAGAGTTGGTTTAATCAACTCTGAGTTGTTTGACTCAGAGTTAGGCATTTGCCACGCGACTATAAAAAGCCCTGAACAATGGAGTGAAGACATTACGAGTCACCATGGCAACAGGACCAAGCCAAAATAGGTCTGCGTTTTTCCCCAACAGAAATGGATGTGCTACTACAAGCATATAGTGACTACGAGCCCATATTTCGTAAAAAAAAAAAACAAAAAAAAAAACCAACACGGCTGCAGCAGCGAAAGAGAAAGAGTTAGCTTGGGGGAAAATAGCTGCCCGAGTCAATGCGTACGTTTACATTTTAATCATACAGTGTTCGGTGTAAGTAATTACTAAATAATGTTAGTAATGTTATTATTTGTCACTTGTAAAGTAAGGAATGGTTCTTAATTCTTCAATAATTGAATGAGTAACTTCAGTAATTGCATAAAATACCGATTTTTGTACGAATTAAAAGTGCAGTTTTATGTCCACCCTTTCTTAAAATTCCTATTGTGGTTGATATGGGATTTGTAAAGTAATGATTAATAAATAATCCAATACGTTTTATGGAGAGTAATTATTACATTAATCAAAACACTTTTTTAAAATTGACCCAACACTGATGTAATAATATAAGAATTGAATTTTAATTTTCATAGAGGTGCATGGATGGGAATATGTGTCCCATCAATGCATCCAACCACAAATTATTAGTTTATTTCCAGAGGTCACAGCAAGATGTTATTAACTGATCATCATTT